TACATTAAATCAAGATAAGTTTCAATTTGCGTAATTACATGATATAAGCCGGTTTCCTAGAATACAATAATTGGCTATGCGTGGTCTTCGGCAAAGCGTACACGAGAGACTCCTTTAGAAACAGCATATTAATATTTTAGCTCATTTTTGTGCCGTTCTGTTAAATCTGGTATTATCACTCATTTCCGTCAACTAGAAGTAGCTACACCTGTAACATAGTTAATACTAGAGAGAGGAAATAAAAACTTGAGCAAACTACCTTTTTTATCAAATATCACGGTGGAGAACTTTTATGTAGAGAAGGCAACATGCGAAAATAATCTGAGCCGCATTGCCATTCTTAGAGCAGCTGGGGCTTTGAAAGCGGCAATGCTGTACCAGGGTGTTGACCGTGAAATTGTGCAAGAGCGCTTTTTTTTTTTTTCTTCTTTAGAGTCGTGTTATATGTAGGATTCCGTGCTTTCGAAGTTCATGTGTAGCCAAAATCGGAGTGTCTTTCGGAGCTTATTTTTTCCGAAAATTATGAGTTTATTTAAGTTTAATTTTATTTTATTCCCAATTCTTCGGAATTCGGAGTTTAATTTTGCAGCGTTCCCTATTTTAAAGAGAAAAAAATATTCGGGTGTAAGCTCGAGCTTTTTGAAAGAACGCGCCTTTATCATTTAATATTTCTGCAACTGGATTTGTTGTTGATGTCAGTATCATTGCCAATACTAATTTTTACCAGGTCGAAAGAGGTGTGTTGCTTAGGTAAACATCGATACCTTAAAATTAGTAACCTCCTGAAGGTAGTCGCTGGGAAGCTCGTGTCCTTTCTGTCCTATTCCGTCAACCTAACCAGCGGACGCGCGAGTTGGAGTGATAAGGAATGTAATAAAGAAGCTTCAACTGCCCCCCCCCCTTTTTTTTTCCCACTTCATGCACTCTCTGTGGATTGTAGATTTTCCTTTTACAAAAACACAACCTCTCCTTCTTCTAAGAAGCACAAGTAGTATGGCCGAAATTGCAAAGAAATCCAGCGGCTTTTGTCGTGATCCGAAAGTACAATAACCTTTTCCCCTGAATAAACCTTGAAGAGATAAGCGGCAAGACCTATTTTGTCAATGGTCCGATGTTTGAAAGACAACTGTGGTGTCATTTTCTTTAAACCATTAATACTGTTTTTTTTTTTGGGGGGGGGGGGTACATAAATAATTTTGCAGTTTATTAGATTAATACAAATTGACCAACATATTGCTGACGGGTGTTTTTCGGAGTTATGTGGATTTATCCGAAAACACGGAAGCCTAGTTAGTTGTTATGTGTGCCACACAGAAGTCCATGAGTAGGCCGTATACTTTCCGGTTTTAACCAAAAAAGTACCGATAATTTACCTCCTGTGTCGAAAATAAAAGATCGGTTCAAATAAAAAAATACCTGTTTTGGATATAGTTTTCTCTCCAACGAAAAAGTTATATGTAGACATTCATAAGACGAGTCCTATTTTTTTACTGTCATTGTTTGGCGTTGTATTTCAGCGTAGGTCTAACAAGTTTTCTTAGTAATCGAGGGGTGTTTTTTTTCTGTCACTGCTGGTTACTTTCACCCTCAGTTTGCCCTAAAAGTTGGGCTTCATTGTGCCTTTTTGTAGAAGGTTGCCCTCCATCTTTGTGAACCCTGTCGTGCCCGGGGGGGGGGGGGGAGGCGGGGGGGGGCGGTTGACGTCGGTGTATTTTTTATACGTCGTTTCATCTTAAGTGCACACGCAGCCGACACCATAAGGAAAAGTAACCACTCAAGCGGCCCCAAAAGGAACATGATGACCACCATGATGGTGTGCTTTGACGCTCTCTGACTGCTCCCTTCAGCATATAATAGAATAAAGAAATGTGAAAAAGATTGTTTATTAGATCTAAATAAAAGCTGAACCGTTTCTCGTTTGGATGTTTGTTTCGATTCGCGATGTTTTACGTTGATAAAAGCCGCCTTAAGCCTCTGCGCAAGAAAATTCACCGATATACATCGGTACTTGGAAAATAAACACCGAAAAACATATAGGTCTGGTCATGAGCTATTTCTGGAGATATCAAAATAAAGGTATTACGGTTATTATAAAGTAACAGTGCTTAAAAAGGAATAAACAAGATTTTCTCGGTAAAACGAGCGTCTTTGTTTGTCACGATAAGTAGAAAGATTCAAAATGATGTGATTGTCATGTGTAGGTTAAATATTCTACTGCTACTTCCAGAATAATTAGGATCTTGAGCCTGCGACAAATTCCAGTATGAAATATACGTGTAATCGATCGACTCTACTTTGAATAGCCATGATATATGGTACTCTACAGTCTTGGTAAGATTGCACAATAATAAAACGACATATTCGCCCAGCTTTCCCACATTCCAATAAAGGAGACGAAGAATGACACGAAATATGACGACTAAAATGCCATATACGATTAATAGATGATAGAAAAGTGGGAGGATCGGTGGCCGACTGCCTTAGCGAGCCGCAGCCCAGAGAACGTGGAGCGAAAGCTCGTGTTGCAGAACCTAGATACCCTGAACTCAATTCCTACACCTGCCCGTTTCGATTGAATGAGCATCGTACCGGTTTTTGGTCGTGTGTCACTACTAATGTGTGATGCACGTTAAAAGGCCCCAGTCTAGAAGTTGTTCTCCAGTGGATGAATTTCTCATCTACAGTCTAAACCAGTTTCACCACTCCTAAACATTACACCGACGCTACGCTGTATAAACACGAACGTAAAATTTGGTGGTTCTTTTTTTTTTGACAAAAGCTTACAAATGTATATCATGGAAAAAAAAACAACTAAAACACTTGAAGGACGCTTAAGCTTCGCCTTTAAGAGAGGAACGCGATAGCGTTATTAGGCCCCGTTCGTATCGCCTTCTCATTCGCCGTGCAATCGTGCCTTGAATGGCCTAGTCAGTAGCCAGTCTGGCTCCCAACCGAAGAGTTGTGGGTTTGGATCCCGCCGAAAATTATTCAAATTTTCCTTTAAGGCAAATGGCTTACTTTATAATGTGAAGTCATTTAAACATGATGCGACCTTTAATCCTCAATACATATTTTGTTCACTTTAATTCCAAAACGTTAAGTCACATTTCACTCAGGCTTGTGGGTTGTTTAAATTCCCGCGCGAGCTTATGTGGCTGTGACGTCATGACCCTACGACCAATGAGAATTTTCGCGTCACGCCACCGACGCGCGGCTTTTTGTGACACGAGCTTTTTATTTATTTTTCACGCTGTCGCGTTAAAAGGCCATCACATCATTCCACTTCCTAATAAACTTGAGAACAGAAAAGATCAGAAAAACAGACGACCACATACAGCGCCTCTGTACACCAGCTTGCCCTTGTTTTTAACCCTTCCACTACGTTGAATTCGCGTCGCTATCAAACCTAATTATTTGCAAAATCATAAGCAGTATAGTTTTAATTAATGCGCAATTGTAATGATTTACTGTGCAGTTGCCATTTAAATTGTAATCAACTACTTCTAGAACAAGAAACATATCAAAGTAATTAAATTACGTTTGCGAAGTTATTTACTCAAGTACACTACTTATGATGAAAATATTAATATTGTCAATGTGTTCCTATATTGATGGATGTAGGCCAGTCAATATTTCGCAATACGTACAAATAGTTTCCCGTTCATAAGAGAAATATTTATGTATATCTCATCAGTGCTAAGAATAAAGTTGCTCGACTTAGAGGTTTGCAAGTGCGTGAGATCGACCATAAAGTTTAACAACTCATATTACTTGCTTGAGGCTCAAATATATTTAAGAGTTTGGAGCTGCATGTTTTGTGGCTTATTGTACTTTAATGTATGTAGTCATTTGACGGATGTAGACGAGCTTTAGTACTTAGCCTTCTCACCGCTGTCTGGGAAGTTTCGTGGCAAGCCAACAAAAAATACCAACATTTTCTCTGTATTATCAACGTTTACTGCAAAATATTCAATAACACTCACTCAGACATTTTTAACGGCTGGCATTATGCTTAAATTGAAAGTACTATGATTACACAGAGACGGAAGAGGAAATTAGAGTAAATGACATAACCAATAAGGAAATGTGACACTAGACGAGCATAATTCATTGGCTGGGTGTCAAAGCGAACATAGTATATATCTATAACTCGAATTCATTAATTTAATCAGTAATCTGCAAATGTACAAATAGAGGCAACAGAAAACGGTGTATTCCCACAAAAAAAAAAAAAAAAAAAAAACGCTCTTCTGTCCGGCTGACGTCAACCAGGTCGCTCCCGCTCTCGCGTCAGCAAATATTCCATGAGGCGAAACCGGCAACCGCCGGGTTAGGAGCCCGCCTTGGGCTGTTTTGGCAAGTTCGAACACGGCTGCGTAGCGCCTTCCCAATATCTTGGCACCGCCACGAATTTGCCGCTCTGGAAGGAAAGGAGGCGAATCCAACTTGCCTTCTCTCTCTCTCTCTCCCTCTCTCTCTCTCTCTTTATCTCTCTCTTGTTCTAATCGAAAGTGTTTTCTTCTCCTCTTCTTCCTCACTCAAACGTTTGTGTGATCACTGACGTCACGGGGGAAAGTCGTTCTGATCGGACTTCTAAACCCCCCCATGGGGCGATCCAGGAATTCTGGTCATTGTGCGCCCGAACCCCTCCCCACTTTTCGCGAGAGTGAATACAATGACGTCATAAGATCACGTGACTATTTGCCTACGCTACGCATCTCCGGATATAATAAAGCGTGGCGCCCCGCGAAGTTTTCAGATGGTGCTGTGATCTCATTTCAAGAAACGGACCAGCGTCCCATTCAGTGCGCGACTATAGTGAAAAGACAACTTCCTGCGTAAGACGTTTGATGGTCTTGAGAGATCTTATGTCCTCAATAATTAGAGGAGTGTAGTATCGAGACCGAGACCGCCCCCAGAATATTTAAAAATAAACTTCCGGTGCTGCGAAAATAACTTTCTTAGTAGGTGTCTTATGCGAACTTAATAAGCCCATCAGCATGAAACTATCGCGTTTTTGGGTCTGCCTCGTTGTTCAAGTCGCCCTAGTCGCGTGGTGCGCGCAAGCTTCTGAGAGTGTGACGGATGGGCCGGCCGACCAACCCACGACGGTGCGGGCGCGATCGAGTGTCGTGGCAGCAGTGCGTGAGCTTCTCAGCACTGCCTTGGACAGCGCCTCGACAAGCGACGTCGCCCGAAAGGTGCTCCAAGCTGAGGTGTCTGCAGAATGCAGCTTGGGCCTGTTGAAACTGATGCGTGGACTCAGGAACCTCGAGCCTTGGGCGTTTAGACGTAAGTTTTTTTTATATATACTGTTGTCTATTAACCTTGAATTAAAAAGGCATCAGGTCATTCCAATGCATAACAAATTGGTTTGAGATTTGAGATCTTAGAACGAAAGCCTTGCTGACTTCTTTTGTGAATATTTAAGTACTTTTATTGTTTTATCTAAACTTCCCTGCGAACATTAAGTTCCAAATATAAATTTTATCACATTTACGTGTTGCCTTCTTCGTGATTCTTCTAAAAATAGTGGTTGGAGAGCTTTCCACTCAATGTAAATCACTAAAATATGCGTATTTTTATAAGATACGTTTAGCATTTTTTCACATCATATAAATGCTATTTTTGGAAAAGTCTAACGACTAGAAAGGTTCATAAAAACTATTCTTCAGAAACTGAAGTTCGGAATGTCGTATTTTTTACCAGTTTGATGCTGATGATTAGTTAAAGAAACACTTTAGAGTCATTAGTAAAACGTGACTTTTGAAGGTTAGAAAAAACAAGTGAAAATTGCGCCTGGTGCAAATAGAGCACTACTTACCCCACGTTTTATTTCAAGTTCTTCACAGTTTTCTAAGTGCGCTGCCGCTCCAGTTTAGGTGATAAATTAATGACATGTATATTTAGCGTCTACATTATTCAAAGAATAAGACGAGGTGTAATATTTTATATTTCATACAAAAATTAGCAGTGGCCTATATTACGGATCAGTAAAGAGTTTGTAAACAAAATCATTGACAGAACACTGAAGATTCAAATATTCGGGATTAAGATAGCCAACCCGGCAAACCTCATTGCGCACCGATCCCGCTGTCGAACTGCACATGTAGCAAGATAACTAATTGGTGCGAGACTCCATCGAGTCTCAGACTGCGAGTCTACATCGAGATTCGAGCTGGCCGAAATGCAGCTAGAAATGACGGGGAAGGTTACCTACAGCATTCCTTCGCCTCATCAGTCCACGCGGCCGTTCTAACGATCATTTAGTATGATCGAACGGAGCTCAGTGAACCCCGTAAATAGGTAGCAGCCGTGCTTCACGGAAGGAATGGTTCCTATGCTTGTCGAGAAATTCATCTCGGGCTTCCGTTTCAAACTACGCGCCTGTGTCAATGTAAATGCAGCAGCTTTTTTATTGGCCGTCGACCCATATCCAAGCCGTTTACCGTGCTAGGAGCGCTGTTCGGCGTTTCCTCAATAATCGTGCGAACGAGCCGTGATTCAAGCAGAGATGACAGTGACGAATTGCGGTAGCCGAGACAAAGCCGTCTACCAAAGAAGAAAAGCGATGCGAAGAAAGTGCTCGTTTTGAGGGCACACGATTCTTTAAAGCCCTGCCGCCCACTCTCGGAGTAGGGCAGCAGCAACGCGAGGGTTGTCATACAAAAAGGCTGTAAGCCGTCCATCCATTGAGCTGCTTACAAAGATACGCGGGGCCGCGTGGACTCGTAGAGACATTACTCACATTATGTTCAGTTTCTGTAAGCTGAAACCTTGCGTCATTCATTACAGCAACATAAAATAGTTATTTTCGCGCAACACAGGGAAGAGTAACTTCGATGCACGTACCCTCATTACTTACGCAAGAATATGCGAGCGATTGGTTCTTAACTATAACTGAAATGTTTTAAGCTTCACACAGTCTTGCACAAATGCTCTGCTGTAATTCTGAGCACACAGATATAGCGCCCAGTAGCACAGTGAGTTGCCCATTTGAGTCCAGGCGTTAACTTAACTTCCTGAGCGAAGAGTAGCCTCAAACTTCTAAATATTATTACCTCCTAGCACTTATGCTTAGCTAGAAATACTTTCAACTTTTTACTTAAAGAAGCCTTTTTGTTAAACAACGAAGTGTTCCTATTACTTATGTGTGTATGCTTCCTCTCGCGTTAGTTAAAGCATAGTGCTCTTGCGAGGAGATATCCGCAAAATACATTGGATTTTGTGCTAAACAACTGGGTGTATGGTATTATTCGTCTAAAAAGTGTTGCTTCTACCGTGATTTGTTTGTTTTGTTTTTGCACAGAGTTGTCAATGGTGCCTTTGATTGTAACCAAGTTTTGAGCTCTTTCAGCTCCCACATTCCTTCACCTTTGCTGTTTCTTTTAAGGTTCATTCTATCTATAAAGTTTAACGAATGTCAAGTTTGCAGTCTTCATTTAAATAGGATTGCATTATCTAACTTAAACTTATGCGGTGATTATGAATGTTTTATAGTAAGCTCGAACGTGTAATTGAAAGTATGTAGTGTGTTTTGTGCGAGATCTGTCAATCTTTTTTTTTTGTGTGTGCTGTTTTAAAGTTTATATAATCAGTTCTATTACACTTATTATGGCCCTTGTGCGCCAAGAAGAACCATGCGGTTCCTTTTGAAGCTCAGGAAATAAAGGTGATTCTTATTATATTATACTGCAAGTTCCCCTTGCAATGAAGTAATGTTTTAGCAAAAAAAAAAAAGAAATCTGAGCTGATAGAAACTGGGTCAGGAATAACCGAATAATGGCGTAGGTGAAGTAGCGGTCACTAGCCGTTTGCACCTGGAGAGCTCGCTAGTACTCTAAACATGACGGCAGTATGTCAACAATTACATGCTCTTTCGAGAACCATCCGGTGTTTTTGGGAGCATAAAAAGCATAACGCATTAAGGTAACACGTCACACTATGTTATGCAAACGTCAGCTTGCTCTAGCAGATAACACGATCACACCAACGGTCAAACACCCTCAGCAGTGTAAACGAATTTTAGCTGTCCAAAAACACGGGACAAATACGCAGTTTAACAAACTATGATTGGATATGGCGTCAGCTTCTTTTTGGATACTAAGAAAGTTTAGTGCCTAACGGCAAACTACAAACTGAATTTGAGAGCCTGTAGGCACATACGGCTCATGCACCACGACAAATTTTAACTGTGGGAAAAGAATGAAAGCGAAATCGGTAAGCTGGTCATTTATCTTAACAGTGCAGCTATCTGTCTCCCAATATTTCACGTTCCATGGGGGTAACCCAAGCCTCCACATTTCAAAGCCCCGCTTTGCAAACATCGCTACAACCAGTATCATTTGTTTCCCCAGTGCTTGATGCGTCTGGGAAGTACCCGAACGGTCTGATGCAAGCCACGACGGCCGATCTGGGGGCATTCGACGAGTGCATCGAGACCGTGGTCCGGGACCAGTACGGCATCGAGAAAGTGCGCGGCCAGTACTGCAACTTCCACGTGATGATGGGGGACGACATATCTATGATCGAAGAGTTAATGCCCGCCGCTCTTCTTTCCCACTGGAGGGTGAGTTCTCTTCATCAGGCGTTTATAGATGATCTCTGTCTTGTACGTCCTGTTGTACCCAATACCTTTAAATCAAGGCATCTTAAACAACGAGATTTACCCAAGCTTCCACCAAAATATTTATCCTTAAATCTGGAATTATCTTTACTACAAGGGACATTTAAACAATTTCGGTCACCCAATGACCCTTCCCTTGTCATTGATCAGATAATTGTATCTCTTCCGTGTATTTTCTGCTATATCAAAGGGCTATTACAGGCTGACGATTTTCTCATTTTCGTGCCTTGCGTTAAAGGCAAACATCGTGCATATTTTGTTCCGCCCAGTATGGCTGAACGTGTATGTGGATCCAACTAAATTGTTCGTAAGTTATTTAATTCTCTTTAATTTATCAAAGCTATGCACAATATCACCGACCGCACCCGACTTTCCGAATCCTGGATTAAATCAGTACCTGGGGGGCTGGCTCTATAGCTGTTATGCGCCTTGTATAACCGCACGACTTTTGTTTTATTCATTAAAGACTAGAATTTACATTTGGAAGAAGAGAATAGTGGAAAGTACACACTTTAAAGCGAGGCCCAACGTTCTGTTGAGAATGAGAGACGAGTCTGATTTGAAGAAGACATTGGAACAAGAACGAGTTTCGGCCGGCTTTTCTTTTTGTTTTGATTTACAGACATGGAGTTTGCCGTCATCATAATTGTTACGCCCGAATATTTTAAGCGGTATACTAGTCGAGCATGGAAATTTTCTATGAAGTGTGGGAAAGTTTTAATTGGAAATAAACATCGTTTGCTAGTTGAGTAAGCTCCCTGTAACAAAACATCTTAATTCGTTTATAAGTTGAAAATATCTTTATATGAATTTATTGAAACATCTATTAACCGACTTTCTTTAGATCAATCTTGTTTCAAAAGCTATTAATATTTTAAAAGACGTACTCTTCTATCCAGAGAGTGAGCCGGCCGCTGTATCTCTTCTGATTGTCAGTTTTCAATGCTGCTCCTCTGCGCACATGAATGTTTACATTAGAGTCTATACCACGTGAGTGATGTTCCTGCATGACTGCGTGAACAGGTGCAAAACTTCACAAGCTACCTGACGGACCCCCGGCTACCCGGATTACGGCTTGGGATTTGCATGATCAACGACTGTACTCAAGCCGATCTTCAATCCATCGTAAACACCCGTAAGTGTCTTCTGGGATACTATCGACTTAAACTCTGTAATCACAAATATGCTTTTAATATGTTGAAGTGCTGCATGCATGAATTTCAACTTACACCAAGTTATCTTTTCAACTGGGCTAACAACATGTGTAACCTTGTATAACAATATAATAGGATGTTTTATTTTATCCACAGCCCTTTTTAAAACAGGAATTCATTGACTTTGTCAAATAGACGCCTTATTTCTCGCCTAATATTACTTTCTAATCAATCCCCTAAACAATCTCTAAACGTCGCATCATAACCTTCGTATGCCTGAAGGTATAAATGGAAGGTGAATTTTAGATACCATTTGAGAGCAATGAAATTTCACCTTTTGCTCCTAATTTTTCCGTTAGTGCCATTCTTTTCATTTGCATATTTATTTTACTTTCTCAAAGGCCGACGTACACTTCGCACTTTCCAGTTTTGCCCGCCTCCTCCTTTTCTTTGCCCTCTTACTTTATACCTTGCTCCACCTTGGCTTCTCTTGCAGCTTAAAGGGGCACTCGAAATTCAGTTTCTTTCCGCCCGAAAACTGCCGATCAAGAACTGGCCGGTTCGAGTCTCGCGCACTCTCTATTCCGTGGTCACGGGCCGTTTTCTAAGGTATCGACGCGACCACCAAATTTAATCAAAGTCGTTGGTCCCTGAAAGCACACACTCAATATTAGAAATAGAAAAAAATATGAAACCAATTTTTTGTGGCTTCTAAAAAACTGCAAATAGGTTGATTGAAAAACAAAAGCTGCACAGAGAACCGGAAGCATTCTCTGCGTGCGTCGTTTCGCGTATCGCGGGACTCGCGGGGACGGCGATGGCAGTGGACGACGGGCGTGGGACCTCTACTTCAGAACGGTCGTTCGCGGTACCGGCGAATTCTGTCTGCCTTTAAAAGAGAAATTTGGGACTGATCAAAAGAATTGGTATTCATCCCGTACGACACGCCCAACCACCAAGCCGATTTGCACGAAGACGTCGCCGAGCCGTCCCTCCCTTCTCGTGGCCGAGGACATCGTTCGCGCAAACGTCAAGCACGACGTGTCTACTTCGAGTTGAATATGTACGCGAACGATTCCTTAGCTAGGTGCGAATGTCGCCAATGCGTGGTGCTTCGACGTCGACCCGGGAGTGCTTTTGCTGGAGAAAAATCGGCAGCAAACGTTCCAACTTACAGTTTACCGGCTGATTTATTACTAAGGAAAGAGGTCCCCCCGGTAAAGAGATGTCCAGTAGCTCAGTGGGAAAGACGTCCGCTTCACGCGCGGTAGGACCGAGTTCGATCCCTAGTGAAAACTTTCTTTTTTTTTTTTCTTCAAACCATTCCCGATGTCTACATTTCTTTTTTCTTTCTTTTACAATTATCACTGAAGAAACAAACATATGTTGTGGACGACACGTCTCTGAATTAAATGGTATGGGATTTCCTTTTTGACACCTGCGAATTCAATGAAATCACTTTCCACAAAATGCAAGGAGCATATAAATCAGGTAGCGTCCGCTTTCCGAGGTGGCCGTAAACGTTCTACAGGAATTGCGGTCAGCCATTGGTCCCAATCCCGTTGATCTTTCGGAAACTCTGTCGCTCAATGACACAATTTTTTTTCGGACGCAAGACATGTGAGCCAGCTCTTCACGCAACATCTTGGGTTATTCTTTTCGGAGCCGATCATGGAAATTCACCACGGGCACTCACTACCCATCTCCAACTCCTCAATGTACAAAACAACTCATCTTGGAGTACAGAACAGCGAGCGGAACAAACATAACTGCAAAAGAATCGCGCCGCACGTCGTCTGCTAGGCAAAAGAGGAGAGATAGAAAAAAAAAAACGCACGGTCGGGTGTAGCCACGTGACTTCCTCCACTCCCCTACTCTCTCCTCTCCACTTCTTCGACCTCCATGCGCGGGTTTCGGTTTCGGTTTCGAGCAGTTGCGTCTTTTGGCTTTATTATGAAAATACGCTACTCTGTTGCAAAATATTAATTGGGTAGTCCTCCGGCACCATATAAAAACGCCTGGCAAAAAATTAAAAAAAAAATTTAGGGGGGGGGGGGGGTTGTCAGTGTCCTTTCTGGAGCGCCAATTGGCATTTTACTTTTCAACAAGGCTTACTGCTGTAGTAAATATCAATATTAAGAAAGTATTAGGTTTTATGCGTTAGTTTCTCTTTACAGCTACGGTGTTATTGAGCAAAGCAGGTTACTTGGCTATTCTTAAGAGTTGAAAAATCATTCAACGAAAGCCTAAATCCAGACGCATACTAATGTAGGCTCTCAAAGAAAACTTTCCGAGGCCGTAACGGTTATTTATGTGCCTTGACTTGTCAAAGTGTCTAGAGAATAGTGAACCTAAACTGGCTCTGAGACGACTTTTACATGTTATCGCAATTATCTTTAAAACGTATGGAGTTTTATCAAGCTCCTTATGTTGATGTTCAGGAATCTTTGTCAGTTTAATTTTATACATGCCAAGAAATGAGTATATTTTCCCTTAAGTTTCAAACAAAGTCAGATACCACGAAAGGTAAGATCGTTTGCCTCCAAAAAAAAATGTATTCCCTTAAATAGTGAAATACAACTTTGTCACAAAAAAATCCTCCGTACGAGCATTTTCTGTTTCTTTTTCTTTTTATACGTTGCGCGACAAACAAAAATAGAGATTAAACTATTATTACACTCAGCTCGGCAATTCGCGAAATAACCCGCTGCACGATGTATGTCATCACCATCTTATCGCTGTTAAGTCATAGCAAACGAGACGTCATGCATCTAAAGAGAGGACATCATTTTCGGGCAAGCAGCACCGTCGACATCGAGTGCGCTAATTCAAAACAGTGTCTTCTGCGAATAATTTGGTAAATAATAATAGAACAGACAATTTCAGACCTGACATTCCCGCCCTTTCGCTGTAGTGCAACTTAAACGAGAAAAAATGCGAAAACCGAAAGAATGGGGTTTGAAGGTCATGCGTCATGGATCGTTTGATTTCAGGAAGGACAACCAGTCCCGCAGCCTGGGCGATGTTATCTTTCGTGTTTCGCCACATATTACTTCATTCGCAACAGTCGTCCTCTTCGTAGTTTGGCAGCCGTTTCAGTTTTCTAGGGCCAGAGGGACCTTCAGGCCACCGGCTGTGCAATCAGCGATATTTTATCATCTTCACGCAATCATCTACGCGAGAACATCGTGCTGGCCGCTTTCACTTCGTAACACCAGGAAGTTTTGTCTCTCGAAGGGCTACTCGGCGGAGTGCAGGTTTTTGTTGCGTTCAAATAAACACCTTCTGAGTTCGCCCGAACAAATATGTGAGAAGAGTAGTAAGTTGGGCGAGTTGGTAAACGTTGAACATGGTTAAAATTGCGCACAAAGAGACGAGGACAAACGAGGAAGGAACACAGAACACAGGCAGGGCGTGTCATGTAGCAGGGCCGTCACTGGCGTCTTCTTTTTTGTATCGTGAAGTGAACGTTAAGGGGCGATTGGGGGGCACGCCTGAAGAATGTAATTTCGGTCTAGAAAAAAATATTTTTACTTTGACTAAATTCTGGTTGGAATGAAACCGGAGCTCATAATATACGACACGTGTATCAGTTTTTGTTACAACGTTCTGGCTATTGAACTTTTCATTTCAAACAATTCGTGGAACTTACCACTTCACCTCACAGTGCTAACACGCGAACAGTTTCGCATGCAGGTTGTGTACTACAAATGTTCATTTTAGTCACGTGCTGATGGTGGCAGTACAAAAGGCGTACGCGTTCCTCGCTACGTTCTTAGGGCCCATGGAGCACGTACAAGAATCTCCATGCAAATATCGATTCTCGTCCAACCCATACGCTGCATTCGGCCTCGACATAATAGGGTGCATCTCCACACTCGTGCCAGTAAACGCTTCTAACTAGAAACTAGAAACGCAGACTACTTCTGATCTTCAAATTGCACTGCTAAAGAATATCCTGGCAGAATGGTGTTGCATGTTAGCATTATTTGGCTGGTTCGCTCAAAATGCGTTAACTACTAATTAGGGATTAATATGGTGTTCCTCTAAATAGTGATACTGATTAGATACGCTGAGAGCAGCGGCATAATATACCGCCTCTGTCTCAAGCCGAGAAGGGCAGGCATTTTTCATTCAAGTAACGTGATTTTGATTGACAAGGCAGTGGCTCATGGGTGCTGCTATATGGCAGCCGAGGCGTGCTTGCGTACCGTTGCTTCGAAGAAAAACCTTTGGAATTTCCAATATTTATCAGGAGACTTTGGCAATACCATTTGCGCTGTCATGGGATATTCTAAAGAGGAATGCTTTTCGATAGACATGTTAGCGAAAGCCTGAAAAAACTGAAAATACAAATTCTTTAAGCTCTATGATATCAGTTACTCACGAATGCCAGAGTTTTCAAACATAAAATAATTGTCGTTCTGATCTCTTTCAAAGAATACATTTTCAACTTTTATGTATTCTGAAGTTGGTTTTAAATATTCAATGAAGTTGCGTGCCTTTAGTGCACTATTTCGAATTGCGAACGAATATCCACTTCCAGCGTTTGGAAACATACTAACTCTATCAACAGTGCCTAAATTATTGAAACTAACTTTATCGTTGGTAGTGCGATGTCTCCTCGTGAAGAAACTTAGTAAAAAATGCTCTTGAGATTTTACCGTCACTAAAAGTGACTGGCCGACCTTAGTTTTTAAAAGAATGCGGCATAAAATTGTCTAATATCTTCTTTATACGTACAAATATAGCTGCGTATGTTTTATTGCAGTGACTGGGACCGTTGTGAAAATCACCGTAAAGAACTGCGTGACAAACCAGTATCGAGGCATGAATACCACAGAAGCTGCCATTATGTGAGTATCTACATCCTTTCTATTGCAGCGTATGTACAACTCCTAGTTGTAAAATATTTGATACGCTAAGGCATGCCATGTGCAATGTTTAATCTACATCTAGATGCCCTAAGGCAGGACTGTTTGCCGATTCAAACAAGTGTAGAACACTTTTTATTATTATTCTATAAAATAACACTATGTTATTTCATATAATACAATTTGTTCCTTTTTTATTTTGGCCAAATAAACTTTAAAAGGAAAGCTTGACACTTTTTTGAATGAGATAGAGCTTGGTTCTAGCGTAGTTTTATCCAGTGGATCTTAATATCCCTTTTGTTTTTTTCCGAACATGTAAATAAATGCGAGAAAACACAAAAAACCTCCGACCAGTCGTTACGTCATGAGAGGGTTTTTTAGTCGTCATTAGAGGGTGTCGCTTGTGTGGAAAGCCCATGTACTCGCAAGATTGACAGGTATATTCCCTTGCACTGGCACCAGCCGCGATGTCTTTTTCTGACGTTTTCAAAAATATAAAGTGTGCGCGTGCAAGCTCTGATAGGCGCTAAAGATGGGCGAGAGCAGAGATTCCGAAAACTCCTTTTCTGACGTCATGTTCTGAGAAGGAGGGGCTTCAGCGGTACTTTGAAAATTATTTTCTGCGGCTTTCATGCACCGAATTGAACATATTCTTGATATTCGAGATACCGGATCCAAATGAAGACGAGTTAATAGTATTTCCTTAAATAAAAAACCGCTTCACTTTACCTTAAAGCAACTTTCAGTGTATATCTACGAAAGGGCAGTAAAACTGGAAATACCTATATACAACAGTGTAGGTAATACTGAATGCTATCTGTGGATACCAAAGAAACCTCAACTAGGTAGATCACTAATATTTTAATTATTTGTCGGGGTCCAAATTCCCAAATGCAGCAATTGTAGGACCACGAGAAATTCTGGTACAATTTCCTAAGCTGACCTTCTATTGAAATCAACAATTTAGTTGACATTTTGAAGGAAACTTGATATTGTTTAGTCCCGCGTGAACGAACCTTTGAAATACTACATGAGCTAAAATAAAGCACAAAAACGCTGAAAGCGTGAATTTCACCGCTAGAAACCAAACTATAAAAATCACTTTAGTTTGACATGTAGCATGTCAATCTAAACCACTAATTCAAGCACCACCTCAACTGAGGATCAGTAGACCATATACTTCCGTTTGCGATGGCTTTCTCTATTTTCAATCGACACTCTCCATTTATATTTGAATAATTTTCTAATCTTTCAGAGCCGTACTGGGCACAATCGCAATCTTAATTGTGATCAGCACCTCCATTGACCTGTACATTTCTCACAAGGATCCACGACGTCTAAACAGTAAGTTATTTTCTGTTCACGACTATTGCCGATATTGACGAGGTCTCACTGCGGATACCGTGTGTGTTCAGTGAGAAATGTTATCAGCCAAATTGAGTCTGGAATCACAGTGTCGTGACACAGTAATTTCACACCTTCACGTGACATCATGCCACACAACGTGACAATTCTCCCGCTGAACTTAACGGGAATATTTATATCTCTAAATATACCTGAAATTTAGTGTTAAGTTACGTCACTCGGCCACGTAGTGTCAAAGTGTCCGTCATGCCATGGTATTACGTGACGCATCAGTGTCACATGAGCACCGTCCGCTAAACTTAGCTGCGCATAAACCGGTTCAGTTGAAACACGGCGGTATAGCAGTGTAACTGAGTGGAGCAGGGTGCTGCGCCTCCGCGGTCGTCACAGTTCGAGAGCAGGACGCGGCAAGGAGCAATGATATTTTGTTTCCTTCCTCAGATGTGGTTTAGACGAGGCATTATATTATATTTAAGGGTGTCTTTCACATGGCTCCTTTGTTTCTATATTGCAGGCGTGCTGATAAAATGCTTGACGTCGTTCTCCATCATCAATAACACGAAGCTCATATTGGCCGTGAACAAGAACAATAGCTCGGACACGTATCAGTACCGATTCATTCACGGCATTCGTTTTCTCAGCATGGTCTGGATAGCCCTTGGTCATTCCTACGGGACCGTCACCGACAATATGTGTAAGTATTCTGAAGAATTTGTCTTTTGAGCGCGGAGCGATACGGCACAAACAGCGCCATTGGTCGAAAACACCGCCAAAGTAGGTCTGCCCTGGCAGTGGTTTAGAGGCAGTCTCCGAGTATTCAAATTCAGGGAATGCTTTTTTTTTTGTTTTCCTCCCTTGCACCATCTCACAAAACGCCAAAATACGTTCATCATGCAAGGGTTATCTGCTTTGACAAATGAAAATATCAAAATCACACTTCAGAGAAGAATGTGAACGTTACAGATAGGAACCGTAAAGTTACAGTATACGAATACAGCATGTTTACATATACGAATTATTAGTTGACAGTGTCTTGAATTCTTATTTTATAAAAATAAACAATTTAACATATATTGTGTATTATATCACTTCTAATTTTAAAAAAACGACCATCGAACATTTGTAAAAAGGTTTTGACGTTTTTAAACTGGACAGTACTAGTGGTAAACAAATATCGTTTGAAAAACATACCCTTTGTTGGTTTAACACCAACAAAATGCATTCACATTTAAATTAATTTGAATAAAGTGAGCCTTCCTTTGCGAACTTTGTAGAAACACACAAAAATCTTTTTTTGTGTGTGTTCGACTGGGCGAACAAAATATAAACTGCTTATTAATGACTACTTAAACTAAAGTATCCACTAATAAATAATTGCTTGAAAAAAATTGTTCACTTATTTATTTAAAATATTTCTGGAATTCATAAGACAGGAGCTCTATACTAACGCTGTCTGTTACTGGAGGATATAAACCGCTTTGACGAACCTTATTAAATTTTTATTCCGGTCAACATCAAGTTACTAACCAAATCAAATATTTTTATAGTTGACAGTATTTTCAAAACAACCAGCACATCCTCAAGGAAACTGGTGTTGTATAAGAAAATATTCAATTGTTTTTTACATGTTCAATATGGTTTTACGTTTGGTACGGTTAACGCAGCACTGTGTACATTTTGTTATTGTATCATTTTCACTGTCCTGTACTTTGTTTTTAAACTGCATTCAAGGACGTACGATTATTAGCGATATAAACAACATTATTTTATTGACAGCACGAATGGTCAACGCCCTGCATTACTTTGAGCACTGGTACACTTTGATTGTCACGGCAGGATACCTCGGGGTGGATACTTTCTTCTTCTTCAGGTGAGGCATCGTTTCCTTACATGTCATCAGTCGAGCTGCTGATTCGGTGGACAGGCGGACCATTTTTTCGTTTCCACATAATACGAACAAATTCGTTTAATGCACCTGTATTGATATCTTCCTTCAATATTTAAAATAGTCCAAATACGGCGAAAAGTGAACCGTATTCATCGAATGGAATAAATGTTACAGAGCTACCGAAAGACAAGATGCTTGGTGACGCCTTGTTTCAAAGTTGTTTTCTGCCGACGCCTTCGTAACATCTGTCCCCTTCTATTAGTACGGTTCATTCGTCTAAATATTTGGACTGTTTTCTTGTCCAGACCAAGTAAGGTAAAAGAAATGGCCCGTGACCCATTTCAATTATTATTTATCTTCATCTCGAAAACTTTATATGTTATTCTTTTCCAACTTTGCGCGCGATGGGAAGGTTTTCTATTCCTGGTGTTTTACTTCTCTAACCATTCCTGCAATAGTCCTAAACAAGAATCAGTTGCAGAAATAAAATATAGGCAATATAAAATTCAGAGCATGAAACAATATGTTAGTTTTCACCTGGAGGTTCAGCACATTCCCGTGTTTTAGGCGCACATAGTAAAATTATTAAAATTACGGTTAGTCTAAAGGATATTTTACCAAATAGTACGTTGACACATCAAGATGAAACAAAGACATAATTTAGAATGTTTGAACAATTTTAAATTAGTGCACCTTTATAATCGTTCTAACTCTGATTAGAAATGTAGGGTGTAAGTGCACCTCTTGTGCCTGTGATAAGTCTTCTAGTACTTGGTGCTTTTAATTTTTTTTAATATACCTTGTGCAAATAATACAACTTCCGCCATTCCATTCACAAAAAACAAATTATTACACCAATATGCTAGAAAAATGCATTGCAAATATTTCTATATTTTTGCGTGTCGGAAGTATTCTATACTTGAACTGAAGAGAGTGAAATGTTTAGTTTAAAAATCGCCTATCTTCGTTACTATACTTCCTTGATTTCATATACTTGTATGTACTTGGGCTAGTCGACTATGCTGTGTTTATTGTCATTTGACATGTCCGTCGCATTTTTAGCACTTTTAGCATGTATACTGTTTTAGTAGAAGACAATTTGTTTTATTTTGTCGGTAACTAATAATTTACAACTTTTCGAAGATTCTGTTTTAGATAATATACAACCAACAAGACACCGGAATAAGATTTTATATTAAAAATCATTTTGTTTTTAATTATTTAGTTGCTTTCTCTTTTTACTTTTTCCATTGATGAAGAAGTGCTCAGTGGAGCAATTGAAGCACATATTTTGCAGCCTTTTAATCGGCATTGATTTTCGTTGTGCTTCTCATTTCAGCGGTTTTCTACTTTATTACACACTCAACAAGCAGAGACGGAACAGGATCATTGTGGCGATAGTCGCTATGACCCGCAGATTTGTCAGGTGAGATTTTATATAAACATGCACATAAACTGAATCCTAGCTAACGTCAATTACTGTCTTTAAATGCCGATTTTATCCGATATTTATAGTTTGTTTGCTTCAGTGTACATAGTCATTAGCGTTGTATAAGTTGAGTAGCTAATTTAATACTTAATCTTATTTCAAATGTTGAGCACAGTGCAGTACGTTAATTTGATGTTTAATACACCACGGGTGTTACTTTCTTCAGTTATGAGCAACTTATATGTGAACAAGAATTTATCTTTGTTAATCAAATCTATGAACCGTGGCGTGCCTAAACAGTGTATTCTTTTCTCCAAATTTCGTGACTAATATTTGTATGTCTCTTGTAATAACACGATAAAGCGTTTCGTATACACTTTAATCTTCAGCTGAAAAGTTATTAAATTATAAGTTTGACATGAGCAAAGTTCTTTTACTGCAATTAATATATGTATGTGAAGATATGTAAAGTCTTGGAACAACCATTCGATGAGTAGCTGCTCGACATCATTCGCGAAAAATATTAGAGATTTGTTGGGCAATGAATTATGCAGTGGAAACTATTAAAACATTGTGAGCCGCAAGGTGTTACATACGGTGAAATGTATTGACAACACAGGCAACAACATAAATAACCTGTGAATTCTGCTGTTCTTTTTAAAAATAAACTTAAAGTGCAAGCACAATCTTAATTTTAGACAACAAATATTTAGACATGGTACGTGTTAAAACAATTAATATAACCATTCTTTTTGTTTTAAGGCATCAAGCATATTTTTATGAATGGAATTACAAAAAAGGTGTAGCTTCTATTTTAGCTAATAAATAATTCCCAGTTTGCTAAATATGTGACACGATTGACAATGTCTCGTCTAGTGAAGCAAGCGTTTCTAAAATTTTAATCTGATGTTATGATTTTTTTTTGCAGGGCTACAGTTCCCATGTTCTTCGTCATCATGTGCATGTACTTGCTCCCCTTAATTGCGTCTGGCCCGGATTCAAACGAATTTTACACGAAGTTTTACCGGGAAATAAGGAGGCATTGGTGGGATCTCCTCTTTCAACTTCGCAACTGGAGGCAAGATATGGAATTTGTAAGTATACTAACGTAGAGTCTTGTACCTACTCAAGCATCGAACACTCTGCTAATAAACACGTCCGCGCGTTTTTTTTTCGCGATGAGCACACATATTGGCAATTAACGCGATATACAAAAGACAATTCGCAAGGTCTATAAAAGGATTATACCGTAAAATACAATCTACGGCGATTACATACTGCACGTCAGAACGTTATTTTCCTGGGTACCTTAACTCACTCAGTTATTTAAACCGGCCATGATGATCAGCTATTCGCGTACTCCTTAGAAAAATTGGCAAGCCAACATTGTTCACAAGCAGTGCGTTGATTACTCGAGCAGACAAGGTATAAAGCGATGCAGATAAATATTTATTGCCAATGCAATTATTCATCACAGCTTACTCCTAGAAACCCACTGAAGAATGACTAATTATCTTTTACCCTTGGTGCACATAGCGGACGGCTAATTGCACCATAGGAAAACGGACGTGTTTTTTATTGCAGCAAATGTCCTTGATACTTTCAAAAATGTAATGTTCCGTGGGAGGCTTCGGCACTTTGTGATATTTGCGTACTTGTGGTATGTTGCTGACGTGTTTGAAAATGACTTTTGAAACTTTTAAATGTTTTGAGTGATACCCGTACATGTCTTAACTGATTGCTAATTGCATTTTATACTTATAGGTGTGCATCTACTCGAACGTATTAACTTTCTAAACAATAAATTTAAAATAAAACGCGGGAGCACAACGCATCTAATTGCAGATGAATATTTGCGACAGTATACCCAGTATATCAACCGCGTTATAACAGATCTTTAGATACAATTAAATTTAATGGAAACATTTGGAGAAACTAATATTCCTATTTATTAAAACACTGACAACCAATAATTCCTTACTGATATTGATATCCCCACAATATATTTTAATGTCGCCCCAAATAAAATTCGTTCTTACTTATATTGCTCCTAAATATTATTGCATAAAATGTGGGACCACAAATGTAAAGGATTTCTTATTGCTGCTTCTACCTTCCTATTGCAGTCAACGCTGCCGCATATATGGTACCTGTCGGCGGATTTCCAGCTATTTCTGCTTTCAGTCGTCATCATCCAAGTGTTCAAAAAGTAAGCGTATTGACGAATTTTTCTAGAATACATGAAAAGCGTTTCTTGTCTTGTTTGTGTCTCCTTATCAGTGCTAATCATATTGAATAAACATTTTCTCGTCCACGAAACAAAAATTGTATTCGCACCCCATTGGAACTCATTCAAAGCTCCAGTCCGTCTTCCCTTCGTCCCTCATCTGCTTTGCGCGCTCCTGTTCGGAGATCAAACCAGATTTTTGTCGTGCACCAAAAAGAAAAAGTTATTTTTCACTTTGAACCTGCCTTTAATTGTCTAAATAGCGACCCCCGTATGACGTGGGCATTCATATGCAGATTAATAATTGGTAAATTTTTTATTGTAGATCAAATCAAGGTCGTATGCTAAAAAAATTGCTCCAAAACCTGAAAGTGATTGTGCTAGTTATTTGTGTAAAACAAAATATATTTATTAAGCTCACATTAAATACACCATTTCCCCTAAAATTGTGCCGTTATAGACTGGTATCGATATGGAAATGGCCAAGGGAGAAATCAAATCCTGGGAATCCGAATGACCTGTTTGTGAGAGGGAAATTTTCTTGGCTGCTAATTGGAGTTGTCCTCACACATTTTCGCTAAAAGCGTTTTACGAACAAATTACTAAAATACTTATTTAGTAGTCCTCAGTATGGCAGCATTACCTTAAGGAATTCCTGACTACACACGGATGGCGAGACAAGACCGCTGTCTCTGATCTGCTAATTCTGAGTTTCCCTTGATGTGCCTGTGATTTTCAACGCTTGAACAGAAGCCCAATAACTAGAGATGGCAAAGACAGCACCGGTTGTCGATCGAGTCTCACATGAGAAAGCAGACAATTCATATTAAAGTTTTTTTTTTTTTTTACAATAGCAATTCCTAATGACACTCAGTTTCTAGCAGTGGATTCACATTTTTCGAAAAAATGAGCAAGCAACATGAAGATGTTTCTTGTTGTTTTTTTATCAATAACGCTCGCCATACGCTAATCTCTCTCTTAGTTCACATTGATAGAAGAACCGTCAGCTATCAGAAAAAACTTTACCACGCGGTTTTGAAGAAGTGAAGAGTGCGCGTCCATAGCTTTACGCGAAGCTTGAATTGAGCCAAAGCTCGGGCGTCTATAGCTTTGAAAGCAGCGCATGCGAAAGTATTTTTGAGGTTAGAGTGGATAAATGAACGGAAAGCGCAGAACCTACACGCGGCTCGAGATGTTACTCTCCCACTAGCTCGCCTGCAGAGATCATAGTAAATTCCCTGAAAGCACCATGAATTACAATGACGAGCATACATTCGAAACAGATTATGTGATAAGCTAAGGTGCGTTCATTTCACTATAATAAGAAGCACCTGAACTTGCACAATACTGAGTAGAACAGAAATATCTAATTACATTTAGGAAGAAAAAGATGCAGCTTATTTATTTCTGGTTTCAGAGTGTATTTATCTTACTCTGGGGAGTGAATTCCCACTTTCTGTTTAAAACAGTGAGGTATTCCGCATGATTCTATCTCTAACCTTGAACCGTATTTTTTTTTTTCTTTTGCAGCAAAAAGTGGTGGGCTGCAGGCATTTTTGCTTTGCTGTCTGTTGTGTCATGTGGTATTTCGGCTTGGCAAGTACACGGGAACCACATGCCACCTTTCTTGGTGCCAGTCACAGAGGAGTTCAGGTACGATATGAACTCGTTGATGAAGATATACGAAGACCAACGACTGCCGTCTCTGTAAATTATGCCAAAGTGTTTTGATAATAGAAATATAATATTGTTTTGTCATTCAATGGTATTATAAGCCTAAAGTATATCAACGGCAGCACGAATTCATTAATTTGCCGCCAACCACAACACGTAAAACACAAAAAGGAATGAGAAACAAAACAAGTGAACAATCCTCACTATTCCGAGCAAAATTGACTGCGCAATATTTATATATTTAAAGTAATCAAAACAATGTTTTATGCACGCTAGTGAATTCAAACGCGTCTTAACAGGCTGGCCCGGATAATCAAAGACCATATACTGTCATCACTTCTGCTGCCCTAAAAAAACAACCGCAGTAAATCGCTTAATTTACATCGGATTACTTCTGGTGCCCAATGCATGCAGGACGCCAGGTTTGTCAAGTGCCGCCGTCTGTCAGTAAACGCAGAAGTATATAGAAACCAAAGCTATAGTTTTTTCGCTATACACGACTTGACGAAACGAGTTGTTACGCGCCAAAAAAAAACAATTTATGTGGTGCGCGAAAGCAGTTTATCATATGTTTCTGGTCTATGGTTGTGGTAAGGATGCAGTCAAAGAGCCATGATAGCCCTGACCCATACTTAATGTGTACTTAAACGTGCCTCCTTTTATTACAGCACTGTTATCGATACCCTGAACGACTACTACATTCTTCCCTTCTACCATGCGGTATGCTTCTTCGCGGGATGCATCACACTGCTTTTCGTAGAAAAATACCGAGAAGTTAAAATTTCCAAGGTAATGCAACCGTTCAGTGATCTATACTAACGACAAACTAAAATATAATTTTGAGTCTTTTCTTTCTTTCTGATAATTTCAATAAGCATTTTTATTGTAACATGATAATAAACATGTTTAGAGGAGTACACATGGCTAGCATATATCTGATAAAAGAAAGGTTAAAAAGTGTAGAAATAAAATCACCAATTTTTACTAATTCCTCACCCTTCTTCGAATAAATGGCTGCCGACAAAGACCCACGGTAGCATAAAGGGGAGTAAGGAGAGAACTCCATCAGACGATATTAGAGAGCACGGCAAAAAACTTACGATTTCTTTTCGCATACAAGCATAAAGACGGGCCGTATTTATCTATATAAGCTGCTATCTAGATCGCCTTGTCAGGAAAAGTTAGTTTCATGGAGCACCAGCGACCCTCAGAGAGAATGTTAATATTCGGGGTATTTTAATTTAACATTTACTGCCCTGGGAAGCAAGAACTCTGTTCTAAATTAAACTGTACCTGTAATGTAATGTCAAAAATTAAGAAAGTCAAATACGGAATATTTAATAGCCATTTCACATTCATTAATGCAATCAAAGATCATTATTGTTCCTCTGCCGGCATGTAGTGCGCCCCGTTAAAAAATTCTGAAAATTTGATTTAGGTCAGTGAATATTATACAAGCTCGAATGTGGTAAATTTATTGTTTGTGGCATTACACATTTTGACTGCGTCTTTGAGTACTTGGATTTTAACTCTCGCTGTTCAAATATGATATAAAAATCAACAATTGCCGCTCCGTTATTCTCCACAGAAGACCCATTCATCTAATACTCGAAACTAAGGTTAAAATGTTAGACTTCATTTAACTTCAAATCACACGCACGCATCGCTCATAACTAACGCTTTATATTTGATTTCAGTTGGTCCAAGCCTCGTTGTGGTGCATCAGCCTGTCTTGCGGATTCTACCACCTGTTTATGAAAATCGACTGGTACCGAGCCACAGACCCCACATCAGAAACCGGCAAGCTCTTCTACGCATTTTCGGACAGGATCGTGTGGTCCATTTGCGTTGCCTGGATCACGTTCGCCTGCTCCACTGGTAGAGGAGGTAAGAACAAGAGACATTAAAATGACCCAATTTTTCGTACACTTATTTGTTCGTGTTACATCCTCAAGATCAGCCGACGGTTTAATTATAATGCACAACAGGAGTATCATATTAAAGTTTATTAAGAAACAACGTAAATGCTCGAAATATTTAACTTAAAACATCAATATCGAGTGCTCTTAAGGAGTCAGAGAAGTGTTGTATGCAGGTCATGAAACTGATTCCGGTAGTTTGATTAAGAGTGAAAGTAGGACAAGCTTGATAAATTTCCTTGGAACGTAAAAATATACAGCTCACTGACGATTAAGAACGTCAATTAATTCATAAAATTTCAACAAAAATCTAAAATATCAATCACATTGCCTCGGACTTAATCTAGGGATATTCCATCGTGCTAAAAGTATAATTTACCATAGTAAAAAGTAAGACCAATATTACGATTATGAAACATGAAGATAACTTCTCTGATCACATTATTTCGCCGCTCGGCTCGTGCTTTCCAAATAGCGCCTTGAAACATAGGTAAAATCTAGCTTGCAACGAAAACACACGGTACAGCCGCGCTGCAAACTCTGGTTATTATAGAAATTTCAGACATCGCACGAAAAGATGCGCGAATGTCAATTTTATTAAAAACCGACCGTGTTGGGAAGTTTCAATTTATAAACGAAAGAATAAGCAAAAAGGACAGAGCGTAGAATACGACACTTTTAATTCAAAAAATGTTGTGTTGTGTGCTTCGCCACGTTTGTCAATTATATTAAATGACAATTATTAACATTTAACTTAAAAAAAACAATAGCCTCTATAGATACCAAAATTACGAGTGAACTATACCCTTTGCGATGGGGGGAGTGCACGAGTGGTCATGGTTAAAGCCCCGAGCACTTTTCCATTTGTTTGAGAGTCCGGAAACTGCACTCTTTTTTGACATAAATATGACCAAAGTAAGACACTGTCCTTTGCAGAATAAAATAGTACAACTTATATCTATTCCATGGAGCACTAAAAAATTAGCTTTATCAACGTATATGCAGATAAGTAAGAAAATTGTTATTCTCATTCACTCCTGTTGCGGTATGGGTGTTTTGAAATATTTTTTTTTTTCAAAACTCTTAGGCGGTATTTTGCTGCGCATCACTGGATTTTTATCTAACATCCACTTCCGGTTTAAAAATATCCAAGCCAAATATGTTTATATTTTTTGAAGTGTGAAAAAAAAACGTGCCTAGACACTTTTAAAAACAATTGTCGAGTATTTCCAAGACGGACGCTGAAACCGCCACAGAAAAGAACATTTTAAGGAAATATATGATTGATGCGTAAAATCTTCATAATTTACTTGAGAACCATTTGTTCTCCTATATGGTCAATCGCGACATTGAGCTGAGTTAAAGCCTGGAACACAAGGTAAAATGCTTTGGCGAGTGTCATTCAGAAACTTAGGGATGATGACTGAAGTTTTGGTATAGTCTAGAAAGCTCCAATAATATCTAGGGAATAAAGTTAGTGAAACCACATCTGGCGTTAGTAGAACTGGGCCATTTAGTCCACAACTGTTCTTCTGTTACTGAAGCCCATTTAGTACGTTCCAATTATTTTTCTAAAAAATACGCCAAATAATATACCTTTTTTTAAAACAAGACCCTTTAGTCGTGTCTCTAAAACGCACCCAGTTGTACTTATAAAAATGTGCCGAGTTAGTTTGGGTGACACCTAGAGCATATACAATGAGATATGTTTTAGCCCGCGATCTTCCAAGTTTTCAAATTCGAGCACACTTGTTCAATACAACAACATAAAGTTGTTGCTGTCTTCATTATTTCATCTCAGTATAGTGATATATATATATATATATATATATATATGTTGCAACGGTTAATCACATTTTGCACCCTATAACGAAGTAGGTGCGTATTGCCTATTCCATTCATTGACTGACTTCGTTCTTTGTCCACTCAGGTATCCTGAATCGCTTCCTTTCCTGGGAGGGCTTTGTGCCTCTGAGCAGACTCTCCTTTGGAGTCTACCTCATACATTCCCCTTTCTACCTCTTGATGCACCATATTGCTAGGGAACGCATCTTTTTCTCTCACTTCACACTGGTGAGTGCGAGTTTTATTATATGAAAATTTACCCTCAAGTTGTTCTAGGTAACTTGCACAGTACAACCCCCGTGTCAGCATATTCTGGTCGCGCAAAATCCAAATTAATAATCATTCCGCGGTTTTAACAAAATATTTATTACCATTCAGATCCGTAAGCATGAATTAATTGCAGCTCACTTCCTCTTACACCACTGAATCGCAGCTGCTAGGCCACCTGCTTAAGCTTAAGTTACTTCCCTTAAACAGTGGTGTTTCTCACACTACAAAATAACATAATCTATCAAATCTGTAAAATATTCTGAACTACCCTAAGTAGTTGAAAGAAAAGCGGTTTCTTCGGAAGTAAAATGTGGAACTAGTTACGGAACCTATATAGTGATGTATTAAGCCTAAATAAAATGCTTCCGCACAGGAAGTACTTATGATTCGATTGAAATGTTTTACATAACTTTACCAGCACTCTTCATTGTTCATGTAAAAAGCAACTCAAACACTTGTTCACCAGCAGTGCTCCGTTGCATAATTCAGTTAAAAAAGTATGAACAATTTTCACTAAATCGCATGGTGCTTATTATAACATTTTAATATTCTTTAAACAACTTCCCACTAAGGATATGTTCATTATTTGTAATATTAATATTTATTAGTGCTATCCTTTGGTAAACTTACTGTGAAAAATTTGCGATTAATCTCAGTGTCTGAAGATGGCGTTCCACCGAGTGACCTTAATTTCGCGATACATAATATGTGGTTATCGGGAATCGGCGCACATGATTAGTCTACCAAAGTGAAGAAACGTTTTTACTATTTAGTGAAGAAGTGCAAGCAAAAAAAATAAAACAACCGAAGTGGTATCTCATTTACTTCAATCAAATGTTTCTTTTTTTTTTTCTAAACAGTGATAACGGATTGTTCGAGATGTAAAACATTTAGCGAAAGGCCAACTGTCTGTTTAAGGCCTGCATGGGATTCCGTTTAAGAAACTTCACACATTTTCCACATATTACAAGTAGCGTACAAGCTGTTTTCATTTTGTGCATATTGCAGGTGTCTCAGTGCTTCTCAGTTCTCGTCTGGAGTTACCTGCTCAGCTACCTCATGTTCATTGCTTGCGAAGCACCCACGGGCCATCTGGAGAAGCTAATTTTTATGCGTGAGCGAAACATTGCCGCGACGAAAGCAGCGGGGAAAGAGAAACACGTGGAAGCAGAGTGCATTGAAGACGGGTTCAAAGGCACGTACGGAAACGGAGTTGCCAAGGCTAACAGCACGGACCACAAGCCCAACTCTATCGACAGTGTGTCCTACCGTCTATAACACCCTTAACAATTCAACGACACTGCGATTAGTCCGCATGTGTCGCTCGACTGCGATAACCACATTGTTCAACTGTCAAATACGGAATTTTGGGTCATACACAGTCCTCCAAAATTTCTCAACCTAGTTCATACCTAACAATATATTATGACTTCAAAATATTGTATGTAACAAACGTAAAACAAGTGTTATGTTGCATAAAGTCTGCCGCAGCCCATTATATTCTTTATTTATGTACAAAAGTCGTGTCATTAATCGATATGTTCTTAAGTGGGAAAACAAAGGCACAGTGCAACACACCAATTCTCACCTTTTACTTTTTGTCATTCTGAGAACTGTCAGCAAGGTGTGAATAGAGTCCCATTGAGCTCAAAACATCCGTTAACACTGAAAAGTGATTCATATATCTATAAAGTGAGCACGATTTGGTCAATAATAATTTAGATATATGGTTTTACAATATGGAAACTTGTAAAACTTATGTGACTCTTTAGCACCATTTTTTTACATTATTCAGTTGCAGAAATTATAAAATATATGCATATTCACTATGCATATTATAAAAACAAATAATACTAATAGCGAAAGGTGTCATATTTCTAAAATTTTGCAATTAGATATTCTTCGGTATCTTAACTTTCACAACACCTGAAATGAATGACAGGTAGCTGTTTCTGTTCTGTTAACAGGATTTATGCACAAAGTATCGGATGTCGACCTTAAAATTACAGGTCTCAGGCTCATTTCCTGTTATTGGCAGTATCTAGTATCCGCTAGCGCTTACAAGACACATTAAGATAGAATGACTGCTGATTATTTGTTAATGTAATTTTTGAAAATCGAGCTATTATGTTGACTGACCAGATTAAGGTAGATCCATCCAAATATTGTGTGTGTGTTTTTGCAAGTAAATTAACAACAGTTTTGATATAAATAATTTAACTAATAAACAAAAAACTATATTGACTTCACAATACCTCGTAAGTATCTCCACTTTGTCGCGTTTCACTGTGCGGTAGCACTGTTTTATTGCGGCATTTCAACACATTATGTTTTGTAACGTCATGTCCTGTACTTTATTGTAAAAATGATAATCGACCTTTAGGTAACAGGGCATGTGTCGCATCTGTAGATATTGCCATTTGCCACTTTACTATCATTTGTTCTAAAATTTGGTTGACTCTCCAATTAAATGAGCTGCCCGTGCAATGCGGCTGTCAACGACCAGCCCTATAAGTAAGCGAAAAACAGGGCGCATCTCATCAGTATCGGTGCTAGGCTAAGCATGACCGTTGTTATAACTGCCAACTGTTCCTCCTGTTTTTCGACAATTTTAACTAAGCATCACCATACTAGAATGCAATTGGTTTGTTCAAGCCAAATTTCAGTTAAGGGTTGTTTATACTCCAACGTCGACGAACGCAACGCGCGCCGGCGCAGACCGATGTTCGTCGGCCACTACGCCGCGCCGAGAAGCGCCCGAACGATGGTGTTTACAGTGCAGCGTAGACCAACGCTGGTCCAGCGCGCCCCGACGAACTGCCCCGCTTTGCGCATGCGCGTCTCCGTAGCAACCGCATCCTCAGTACGGGTTCTCTATGGGCGGTAGCTTGCGCCACCTAGCCTAGATGCAATCGGTCAGTGTGGTTCGTCCTCATGTTGTCATGTCACAATTCAACTTCTTCGGGGCTGCGGTTAGCAGTTCAAAAACAACCAAATAATGGTGATAACAAGTGGAAACAAGCATTTATTTTCTCGTAAATGTCATACAAATGTCAACAACAACAAAAAAAAGGGGGAAAAAAGAAAAAGCCCGATATCGCGTTTGTCGAACTTAGCTGCTTCGCAGGTTCGCCGGAATCGTGCCAGGCGACTCCGGCGATTCCGCCTGAATGCTTCGATGAAATCGAGGCACTCGATATTCCACAGAGACCTCTTTCTGACAGGTAGTCGATGTGTTATCATCATAGTAGACTTTCACGCTGACTTAAGAAACAGACACCGAAGAGACCGGACGATGCCTAAATTACGCAATGTACGCGATCGTAATTGTAACGCACTTTACAAAGCCTATACAAAAAATACAGAATTGAGTCCAATTGTCATCGCGTACCGCTACTATCGTTTACAAGCTTAGACCGTTTACAAGCTGAGACAGCCCAATTGCAAATTTCTGGCCGGCTAAATATTTCAGAGGTTTCACTGTCTCCGCCGTTCCAGTACATTCGACGACGCTTTTTCGATCGGGAACGACCGCCGATGAGTGCGACTAGCACATGATTACAAATAGCAAACGCATTAGGTTATTTTTAATTCTAATTAACCCTATCTTTGGCGCGTCTTCGTGCGTCCAGCTTTTGCCGGCACCCCAACACCACAGCCCACAACCACCGGCTCGTTAGGTCGATAGGCCTATCGACAATCGAGGGTTCTGCACCTGGGAGCGGTCCACGTTCACGCACACACTCACCCAGTCAAGCGCACGAACGTTAAATACGCACACCAACACGGGAACACGGCACACGGCAAGAACGATAGGTTCAGATCCTAGAAATGAGCATCTCGCACACTCCGACTGGCCCCGACACCCCGACAACCGGATTCCCGTATGAGGCATTGGCGCGAACGCTTCTGGGATGGCCTCCGTCGGCGCCGTCGTCGTCCAACGTCGAACGTAGAGCACGTCCAATGTCGAACGTAGAGCACGTCCAAGTCCGTTGTAAGCTACGCTGTCGCGCGTCGAGGTGCTCAGCGCGGCGCCGCGTTGAACTCGACGTTGGAGTATAGAAACCCCGTTCGCAGACAGCGTCAGCGAGCGTGAACGAGCGCGTGCGCTCGTTGACGTTATGACGGAGTACAAACAGTCCTTTAGAGAACACCGCGTTACGGTATCGCCCTAAAATGTTAATGTAGTAAACGACCTTTAAATATGCTAGATAAAAGCGTTTCAATCTGTTGATCCTTCAATAATGTTAACTTCCTAGGCCTAGTCAGTGTACTATCCCCGAACCCATGAGTGTCGACTTGTGGCAGAACACTCCAATGCAAGGTTTTGAGCAACCAGTTTGCCGAAATAAAACATGAGTCTGCAGCGACCACGAAAAAGAGAAGCATGTTTCAGTTTTATCATCGAAGAAATGTTCAGTGTCTCCAACGGCAGGAACGTTAAGATATATAAACCCTTATTTATTATTAAAACACATTATGTTTTGTGTTCACACTTCAATGTTGCCTTGTTATGTAAAGAAGAAATAAACAATAATCCTGATGAGCGTACGGCTTCAGTGTGACACTTATTTTGTGGGCAACTCCATTGCATTTTTACGATTCTTGTGTTATGATCTGTTTAGTCGAAGTCGGCGACCCTGAATCACGAAATATGATTTGTTTTTCAGTAGTGTGTATAGTTTTGTAGATATCGCGTATCCAATTTTCGTTCCGGCGGCCCGACGAAACCGAAACTACCGGCTGGAGCAGCTTGGCAACACTGATAATCAGCTGCACGTCGACGGCATGACGTAGATCTCGTCCCGCGCTCCTGACCCGACGCGCCGAAACGGCCGGCTCAGTCGCACGTGGAGTTTCCAAACAGAAGGTGCACGTTTTCTTTTTTACCGCTGCACTTCGTAAATATGCACCAAATGTTGTATGTGTTAGTGTGTATTTATAAGTTTGCCCGCCGAAAAGCGAATCAGACTGCTACAGATAATATGACGCGGTCAGTGCAGGTGCAGTGTGTCTGTATTTGTTTCTTGCTCATGGAACAAGAGAAAAAGATATAACGGAAGACAGATGGACAGTTGGTATCCACAAGCGGTCTAAGTTGTTAAAACTAACATTCCTTTATGTGCACGCTAGTTAGAGCTGCTGGGACCTGCGATCGAGCGGCGACTGTTAGATATCATCCGCGTTTCGCGTACTTCGAGATCTCTTTAAAGCTGTTCCGGACTTGTGTTTACTAGACTCAAGGTATAGATGATTGCAAATATGTCGTCCGGCTGGTGCCCCATGCGCCTAAAGGCAAACTTGCCAGGCGTGTGATTGCACGGGCTTACCACCATGAGTGGTGCCTAGATGTATGCCCTGCTTGCAAACGTGTATAGCGCTGTCGGCTTAAGTGTCATGCACCGTTCATCCTCGTTCCCAGCTCCGGTGGGGAAAAAAAAACTATATAGCCCACGACAAAAAAAATCTGACGATAATAACTGACGTATCCCGACAATTACGCTGAGCGCAACGAATTTTTGTTTTACTTGTGACTCGCGATTATTGGTTATAACACTACTGATTGCGTGATGGAAGCTTGCATGAACGCAGGAACGCAGCGTACCACTTGCCGTATTCAGCATGCTATTCAAAAAGGGGTTTATGGTCGTTTTAATTTCCCCGTACGATTGCCATTATGCAACCTGACAAGTGTGGTCACGAACTCTGTTGATAGCTTTCATTTTTCTGTTTTAGTTCAGAGTCAAGGCCTGTCCGGTGCTCTGTTTTTTTCTTCCTCGTCACTACAAACTAGCCCAGTTCTCGACTCGCGGTAAGCACCTATTGCCTTCAGCAGAAACTCTGAATGACACGGGAAAAAAAGCGTCCGCAGCGTCCGCATAGGACGAAACCTACGTTATAGCCCAGTGTTTCTTCACCAGCTCACCCACGCCAGCGTTGCTCAACCGCTGTCGGGCCGCTAACCCAGCTGGTAGAAAATGCTTTAAATTGGCTTTAATCGGAACGGCGGCGTCGGTTCGACGTGATATTTTTTGTATCACCGTATTTTGACCCCATAAAGCGATATCAGCCATTTTTATGCGGTCGACGTTTTTAATGCAGTTCACCTTTAATTGGCGAATCTTTTTCTCCGATATAGCTACTTACAAGAATAGCTTTTTACTCGTTTTCTTTTTTTTGTTCAAGAAAACTTGCAGCTTCCGCGGCAGTGAAGGAACTTTCACATCTTAAAATATTAAAGCCTTAAAAATGTTGTAACAGTCTTTACCAGTCTTTTGTGTTAGTACGAATCAACAAAGAGAGGAAAATGTAAACACAAAAGGACTCGAAACAAGCACATGCCAAATTTGAGCCACCTCGGTTCGGTCAGTCAAGTGCCAGAAATACAACAAACCATCGACATTTCCAAAACAAAACACAAACACTCAAACGGCAATATATAAATTTTCCCGTACGCAGAGGCAGCATACATCATCCATCGCGAAAAAGCAGCACAGTAGGAATTGCATCATACGCTAGCTGCATTATAAGAAAAAAAAAAAAAACATACGTGCATGCTAGACGTACGTGCACGTAATAGAGCTACAAACGTGCACTCACGTGTTCGCAAATGCAGGACAAGTTAAAGAAAC